TGTAACCCCCCAATCAATACTCGTGGCCCTTTTAGCCATACAAGGACACGTGCAGAGCCGTGACAAAATTGGACTCCTCCTGACTTGTTCCAGGTGGGATGATGCTCTGACTTCGTGTTTCAGCTCTTGTCCTGGAAACCAGGGTCCTTTTTGCAGTCTGTCGGTACCATGTTCTGAGCATCTTGGTGCCTCCTCCCCAAGCCCCCCCATGATTTCGCCATTTAAAATGGCTCCCAAGCCAGTGCCTGAGCGCTGTCTGTGGTCGGGAGCACAGAAGCTGTGATGTGCCTTCTGGAGAAAACAGGTGGGTGAGATAAGCTGCATTCAGATCATGAGATCCAGAGCTCTAGGCCATGAGTGCGGTGCTAATGAATCAACAATATGTGTTGAATAAGGCGCCTTTAAGCAGAAACACACACAACAAGGTTATGTATTGATGGTTTGATGAAAATATGGCCAGAGGCTCCCAGACCCTAACCTTTCATTTCCCCTAGGAGCAATGATACGGCACTCCCTAATTCAGTGTCCGTGGCGACTCCATAGCACATAATTACCATGAATAATGAGAATTTGGGGGTGTGCGTGCGCGTGCACACTTGCACACTTGTTTGCTTCTGAGCAACAGTAAGCCCCTGCCAAGTATTTCTGTTGCTCAATATTACAAGTTATTATATTTAACAAGATAATTCAGAGTTGCAGCAAGAGTTTAGTAAAATCCAAGCCTAGATAGGTAGACTCTGGAAGCTCTCTTATTAATCCTATCTGATGGCAACCCTTTTCCAGTTTAACCATTTCCACTAACCATTTGAGCAAAAGGCGTTTTTCTATTCATCCTGAAGGAGCTTCCATTCGCACTTGAATTCACAACATCTCACCAACTTGGTTTAGATACAAATGTACAGCTAATGAAACTTGGTGTCCCAGGGTCGCTGAGTGTGACCTCGGTATGGATTATAGGAAGATTTTACACTGGAGATTAGTTTGCTTTCTTCGCTATGATTCTGACACCAATTTCGATGTGTCTTTTCTGACACCATCAAGCAATTCTCTGTGACACCAGGTTGTCCTAGAATCTCAATTCTGACACTATCTACGTCTATCTGAGGTCGCATCAGACGCTACAGACTGAGGGCTCAGTCCCACAAGACTGTTCCCACTTGAGATGTCAGCCACAAGTCCAGGTTTGTCCCTGTGCTCTGACTGATGGGTTATAAATCAGAGGTTCCCATAATCCTCTCCTCGGGTTCGATGAATTTCCTAGGGCAGCTCACGCGACTCAAGAAACTGGGTTATTCACTGGATTGCTGGCTTATTACAAAGGATATTAAAGGATATGAATTAACAGCCAGGTGAAGAGATCCCTAGGGCGAAGTTCCCAAATGCAGGAAATTCTGTCCCCCTGGAGTTTTTTGGGCCAGCAGCCTGTCAAGTGTTCTGGTTCACCAATCTGGAAGCTCTCCTACACCCTTCTTTTTTGGGGTTTCATGGAGGCTTCATTATATAGGCAAAATTGGGGATTCAATCATTGGCCATTGGCCACAGAACTCAACCTCAGGGCCGTTCTAATCTCCGGAGGTCAGAGGGTGGAGCTGAAGTTTCCAACCCTGGCAACCAGCCCTCAGCCTTAGGTGACTTAGGGGCTTTCCAAAACGTACCTCATTTAACATAACAAAAGACACCTCGATCACTGCCTCACACAGGAAATTCCAAGGGTCTTAGGAGATCTGTGTCTGGAACAGGGACGGAGACAAAAGTCTACCTTTTTTTCTTATGAATTGCAATCACATTCGTGATGACTGTGTTTGGTAGACTGATGTGATGTTTGCCATGGAGGGAGAGATGGTACATAGGCTTAAGGGTGCTCTGGGACCCGCTTCGTGGGCAGGGAGGGAAATAGGGCGCAGTGACTGCCCTTGCTGAAGCAGCTGATGACCAAGCTGGGCCGGGCCCCCCACTGCAGCCTCCGGCAGCAGCCCAGGGCACCATGCCTCCACCACCCTGCCTCTCACGTCTGGGGGTCCTGCCCTCAGCCCTGTCCCCTAGGCCACGTCAGACCTCTCTGGCCTGTTTCTGAGAAATGTGCTGAGAACACACAAAGGCCCTGTCAGGCCTTCACGGGGTTAGACTTGATTTCCCTGGGGGGCTCCGCAGCCTTCCTGGACTGTGAAATCTCTGCCTCCCCAGGGGCGGACCATGCCGGAAGGAGTCTTTGGGTGCCCCTGGGCCTCCGACTCCTCCCCGTGGGTTCTGGGGGAACTCGCTGGCCAGCCGAGCGAGAGGAAGCACTGAGGCTGAAGGAGCGAGGCGGCTGGCTGCCATCCCACATAAACACGCTCTGTCACTGTAAATTATTTACGCACCATATGGAGGCCGGACAGGCTCCTTGACAGGGTGTGTTAATTAGAAGCCTGTGGATCCTGCCTTGGCCCAGATTCCTGGGGGCCGGGGGTGAGAGGTACAGAGGAGTGGAGGTGGGGCGGGGGGCTGTTTCCTTTTGCTCAGCATCTCCCTGATTAGAAACTTCAGTGATTCTGGCTTTTCCAGCAACAAGTCTGAACACTGTACTCGGCGTTCAAGGCCTCTTTCAGGCAGGAGCTCCCACACTTGCCCTCTGCTTCTGGCAAGACAACTTCTCACCGTTCTCTGTAACTGGCTGAACCATTCCCCTCGCTAGACCTTGCATCACGTGCCCCCTCGCCCGCCCGGAAACCCTTCCTTTCTCAGCATCCTTTACATGACAGATCCTTTAAAGGTCACGTCCTCTGCACGGCCTTCCCACTCACCCCCTGGGGGACAAGCTTTTTCCTCCTTGTGCCCTCAGTAGAGCTCACACGTTACAAGTGTGGCCTCTGGTCTGAATCAAGACACCAGCTGCATCCCTTGCTGAGGGACCTTGGTTCCTTAAGTAGAACCTAGAACCTAGGGTGTCTCCCTAAATCTCTGGGGTAGGGAGGATGGAGTATATGCTAGCTTTACATGGTACCTGGCACCCACAAATCCCACCACAGACACTCGCCCTTCTTCATCAGTATTAATGTAGAATTACTTCCCTCTGCTGTAATCACTGCTTTGGTAAGCCTCACTCTTTCTAGACTCTGACCCATTGGAGTGCTGGCGCTTGGTCTTACTCCTCACTAAACCTTCTGCTTCGAGCCCCGTGCCTGGTGCTTCATAGGTATCACATACGGACTGTAGATTCGGTAGTGGCACACACGTGTGATGGGCAACATTTACTCAGTGCTTACTCTTTGCCAGGCTGTGTCCTCAGCCCTTTACAGGCGTGAACTATTTACGCTGATGGTCTTACGTGAGGAGCTGTGATCGGTACTCTCACTGGACAGCTGAGGAAACTGAGCATGGACAAATACCTTGTGCAAGGTGACCTATGAGTCCTGGAGTTGAGATTCAACCCCAGAGAGGTTCGGAACTCAGTTGTTCCATTGCGTCTCCTCGTTCGAGAATAGCAGCGCAGCCTGGGTGTTGGGTGGTCGGCACCTGGCCCACAGCAGGTGTTCAGTGGATGGTGAGTAAGAGTTTGGGGCCTTGGTATGTTGACTGCCCAGGCTAAAGGCAGGCAAGTCACACAGATCAGCTACTAAAAAAGGGTGAAAGTTCCTACTTGTTAAACTCATCTCTAGAAAAAAATTTTTTTTTTTCTTTTTTTCCTAGAATCTCCAGTCCCGCGTATCTTTTTTTCCAGCTGGCCGGCTCTAGACTCGGCTCTTGGCTTTCCAGACAGGAGGAGCAGTCTGTGTTTCCCAGACCGGCTCTGGGTCACTTCCTCATTGCCATCTTTTCTTCAGGCTGCTGTATCTCTTCCCTCTGTCTAGAACATTCCTTCTCCCTCTCTTCTGCGCCCTCCCCCCTGCCACTGTGATCCTATCTGGAAAACTCCTCCCATCCTTCAAGGTCCGGTTCACGCCTACTGTCCTCTGGGAACTCTTGCCCAACTGTCATCCTCGATCTTTGGTTCTCCCAAACCGAACACACGTCTAAATTATATACAGCCAACAAAGTGGTGACTGGCGTGGGCTTTAGCTCCAGACACCTGGCTTTCCGTCTGGCTCTGCCACCCTGTGCAAGTCTCCCTGCCAGGGCCTTAGTTTCCCCATTGGTGAAATGGTGCAGTCATAGCCCCTACCTTGCAGGGCTTTGCGAGGTGTGCGTGGAAGAACGCATAGTCATGAGATGTGGACACAGTACGTGCCCCTGTACTTTTAGTCTTCTAGAAGGGGTCCTCCATGCATCTTTCTGTCTCCAGTGCTCACAATAGTGCCTGGCACACAGCAGGTGCTCACCAAATGAAAATGCAATTTGAGTTCAACAAAGTAAGCATTTATTGGGCGCCCACCATGTACCAAGTGCAAGATATGCAAAGATGGGTGGTGGCTAGAGGTCAGGGTGCATATACACAAACACAGCCAGCGAGAGACTTGGAACGAAGACCGATGCAGCCCTTCCATTGGTTCATTTGGTCATCAGGGCATTTGTTTTTCCAGGCTCTGGGGAGACAGAGATGAATGAAATGCACTCCCGGTCCTCAAAGAGACGTGACCCGGTACATAAAACATACAACTGGGCAGATGATTGCTGTCCTAGAGTGTGCCTCGGGGCTCTGAGGACAGAGCGGCTGGATTGCGGGTCACTGTGTAAGGGATGGGGGAGGGGAAGCTGGAGAGATGAGCAGTGCCTTTGCCCCTGCTGGTTCTTTTGCCAGGGACACCTATTCTCTCATCCTTCCTGTCTCCGATGGTGTGTCCTCTCCTCCGGCAGCCCCTTTGGGAAGCTGCTTCCTCCTCGCTCTATCACTGCACCCTGTTCATTTCTTCTCAAGCACTGACCATGGTCCCTAGTGAATGAAAGGTGGGCAAGGAAAAGGAACTAGCAATTTTTGGAATACCAACTATGTGCCAGACACAGTGCTCTTTAACTGAGGAACACTATTTAATTAATTTCCCCAACGTTCCAGGGGTGATGGTATTTTTATCCTCATTTTGCAGACTACGAAAGGGGCTCTGAGAAGGCAAATGCCTTTGTCCAAGGTCACCGGCCGGATGTAGTGGAATCCAGGACCAGCTGCCTCCCCACACCCATGGTGCTTTTATGGCACCGGGAGAGGCCAAGTGCAAGAAAGGAAATGGAATGACTCGTTTACTGCTTCAGGCACTTTCAGCAACAAGTAAGTGATTTCCCTAATTCCCAGTCTGCTGTTAATACAGAAACTTGGCCGCTGGGAACCAGGCTGCGGAAAAACAGGTTTCCTTCTTAACTCAGCAGCACCACCTGCAGGATATGAGGGAACACTGCAGAAATGAGCAGGAGCAGGATCTCTGCGGGAGGGGATCCTGAAAAAGGGACCTGAGACAGTATCTCATGCCCTTATTAAAAAGGGGCACACTGAGACTGAGAAAGGAACTTACTCAAAGTCACAATGTCAGCGATGGCAGATGGGAAGCTGTATCTCTTCTGGTTCCCAGTTCAGTACCCTCTCCCCACCCACTCCTTCCTTCTCTCCCTACCCACTCCTTCCTTCTCTCCCCACCCACTCCTTCCTTCTCTCCCCCTCCCTCATTCAAAAAGCATTAACTTAGCACCTACTATGCCTTGGGCATATTTCTTCTTGTGGGTTATAAATATTGATGGCTAAAATGTGCCTTCTGGAATTATTGTTGTATTGATTAATCGCCATTAACCACATACCTCATCATTACAACTAAGATGTATTGACCATTACTATGTATCAGGCACTATGCTAAGGCATGATCTCAACTGATCCTCACAGGTGAGGAAATTAAGGCTTAGGGAGGTTTGGGAACATCCCTGACATGGTTTAGTAAGTTGTGGAGCTGGGATTCAAACCCAGATCCTTCTGACCCCGGAGCTAGTGATCTTCACCACTCTGTTCTGTTTATTCTTTAAAGTATCAAGGTCAGTTCAAAGAGTATCCATACTCTAATTAGGATTTTGCTCCCATTTCAAATAATTACCTTTTTTTTTTTTTTTTTTCCCCTAAGAGTGGTGCTGACTCTCTTATCGAATTCGTTGCTTCTTAAATCCCTGGGAGTTTATACTAAGGTTCTGCTCTGTACCAGGCACTGTTGTAGGGGCCCGGGACACAGAAGCAACTGTAACTCCGCGAAGAGCTCATGGCTTTGTAGGTTTCAGCCTCGATACAAGGCAACTGGCAAGCTTTGTTCTAATAGTAACACTGCACCGCTCCAGGGGGCACCATTCACACTGCAACTGGTGGAAATGGCACCTTTTGAGTTGCACAGTGCACTGCCTGTGTGGCCGTATATGGCCCTGACCTAGTGAGATGAGAACGGGCGGCCGGGACAATCACTTCCGCCTCTGCAGAGTGGGGAAGCTTCCAGGAAAGGGCACTGGCATGTGAATGTGTACAGACTTCGAGTTCCTGTCCTCTTCAACTGGGAGATAGTATCAAGGTTTGGGGAAATAGATCTCTGCGTTTCAACTAGCAGAGCAGAACGTGTATTTCAGTTTCCATTTCTTCATTAGCTACCAAGTTGCATTTCGTTTTAAGTTGCCAGGAATTTTGCCCTTGTTCTAATTTTCGGCTGGATGGGATAGTTCCTCTCTTCTGGGTGGTTGGTTCCCGAAAGTGGAGCTCACCAGCTGCAGGTGGCATGGGTAAACCAGAAGATCAAATGTGGGCAATGTGACAACCATTTGGGGAAATCTCTGCCCAACCGGAAGGGAATGAACTCACTGCAGGCCCTGAGAATGGAGTGCTCACTTCACAGAAAACAGCACTCTCCTCTCTCCCCCCGCCCCCGATCCCTAGCGCCCTCACCATCTAAGAGTACTTTGCCTTTTGTGCACATCTTACTTTAACGTATAGTATGAAAACCAAAGGTGTTTTTTTTTCATTTTCTAAATAGAAAATTATTCTAGAATGACTATGCTTTTCCCCAACGCCCCTCCTGAAGATGTTAATTCAGACCCCACTACGGAGAACATGGTAGGGGGTGAGAAGTGCAGGATTGGGTCAGCACCAAGGGCACAAAGGTGTAAGGGACAAAAAAAAAAAAGAAAAAGAAAAAGATGTGCTTTCAGCCCTCCAGAAGCTCCTGGTCCTGTTGTTGCTGGCCCTGCAACCACAGGAAAACACTGTGGGAAAAGGACAGGGTGGTGAAGGAGGAGAACCTCCTCACCAGACGGAAGGCAAGGAGCAACACACCCCCCGCCCCACCCCAAACCTCCCCTTAATGGCAGAACAAGGAGAAATATCAGCTAGTGTGGCAGAGGGAGGAGATGAGGGAGAGCTCTCTCTTCTGTTCCGCCCTGGAGGGAGAAAGATGCTGAGCAGCTTCTGGATTTCTCATTAATTTGGAGTAGGAAGATTCCTTTCTTTCCCATGTTGTGGGCTAAATAGGCACTCGATAGCCGGTCTGGGAACATGATCAGCCAAGATAACCTTGTTCCTGTGGGAAAATGAATTCTATAGTCCACACAACTGTCTTAGCTAGCAATCATCTATTGGAACACATCCCTTCCGTCGAGTTGAAGGGTCTCTGCTGTTCGTCATTATAAAGTTTCATGTTGTGAAAAGAACTATGAATTCAGATGATTGGGTTCTCAGCTGCCCCATGCCAGATGGGTTGTGCTCTTGGTCAAGTCACCTCATTTTCTTCTTTGGGGTCTTGCCTGTAGAATGAGGGCTTGGACCAGATGAATTCCCATGCTCTTTTGGGATCTGAGTCTTTGGGATTTTGAGTCTCTTCATTATGTTACTCCCACTTCTAGCATGTTATTTCATTTCTCGCTGAATAGAAGGCTTCTTTGGCCCAGGGCTTATAGGCTCCAGATCCATTTGTCACTCCTGTGTCTGTTGGTTTCTGGCTTGGTCCAGCCAATGGGGGTAGTGGACCATGACTGGGGGGAGTCAGGAAAGGAGAAACCAGTGTATTTCTCCTCCCCTCTGCCTTCAGAGGTTGCATTTCTTCCTTGACTCTGGATCCCACCAGCGTTATAGGGTGACCTCGGGACTTGGTTTCCTATGACCCTGCCTCCTCCTCTGTCCCTCCAGCTAAGGGGCAGGAGTGGCTTCTTGCTGTTCTTAATTTCTGGGTTGCCTCATTGTTTCCCGGAGGGTTTTCAACCCAGTGTCACCTGTGTAACCCATTCCCCACATTAATTTCCTCTTGTTCCAAATACGTAGAGTGGTTGCTGTTTTCCTCGGCTGGACTTGGACTGAGACATTCCAACTTTTGTTGGTTTTACCTTATAACAGCCAGCAATAAAGATGATAATGATAATGTTGATGATTATAAACCCTTACTTGGTATATAACCTCGCATATTACAAAGCTTTTACTCGGGTTCTATAATTTGAGTCTCGTAATAACAGTGTGATGTAAGAAAGGCATTTATCATTAATTCCATTTTACAGAAGAGGAAATGATCTCACTGAGTAACACAGCCGGTAGGTCTTGGGACAGCTGGAACGAAAACCCAAGGCTTCGGTGTCTCATCTAACTCCCCCCTCCCCCAAATTGTCCTACTTTTCATCATTATCCCACCTACCCCGTTGGAATGGTGTCTTAATGCTTCTCCCTTAGGATGCCGTTTTCTGAATGTGAGACACAAACCATCCGTTGAGGGTGTATTCGTTATCTATTGCTGTGTAACAAATTACCCCAGCACTTAATGGTTTAAAACAGTATTTTTTATTATTTTGGAAATGTAGGCATTAATGTTCCCCTCTATCCCACATTTTCTGGGTTGATTGTTCCCCCCAGAACTGGAGGAGTAGGTTCAGCCTGGGAGGGCTTTGAGGTTGTATTTTTCAACAATTTGAGCTGGAGTCTGGCTGCAACGTGATGAGGAGGGAGGTGGCTGGCTGATATTGGCACTGTGCAGTACTGAATGTACAGGTCTGCCCTTGCAAAAAAAAAAAAAAAAAGCAGCCTCTAGCCAAGGGACAAGCCCAGGGGGTGAAGCATAAACTTATTTGTATTAAAATCATTAAACGGGAAAGTCCACTGTGTCTCTCTCTCCATCTGTATCCTTCACTGAGTGTCGAGCATACAACATGACACTAGAAAGCAAGTGGATCCCTGCACTGTGGGACTTACAATGTCATCAGAAAGAAAAAAATATTTTGTATTCTTGCGTCCCTGGGGATGCCAGCATTTGGGGAGGATCAGGGTCTCCTTAGCCATCACACCCTCTGTGTTGTCAACCATCAAGAAATATTTATATTTACCTTATGCTCACCTTGTGTCTCTTAGCCCGCTGTCTAGGATTCCCTGCCAAGGACCTTAACTCGGTTATTTCTGGAAATCCCAGGGGCTGGTTCCTGTGTACATATGAACTCTGTCCTTCTGGCTCCAGTATTCTGTTTACCCTCCTTCTCGGCTGTAGCTTTCTGCTCTGATGTTCACAGCCAAGTTTGGAGGTCCTTGCCAAGGCCGCACTGGCTGGTATCTGTGGTGGGGCTACTGTCTCTTTCCAGCATCGCTGTGTTCCATGCTGACCCAAGGAGAATGCCCATCTCTGTTTGCATCTTTTCTGCTCACCTATGCCCCAAGCGGGGCCACCCTGCCTCTCCGTAACTCATTGGGATTTTTAGGAAATAATCCTATTTTTTGTTTTGTTTTGTTTTCTTCTGTTTCAGCTTCTCCCCTCACAGGTTCTTATCTAAGCTCCAAGGCAGGTGTAAAGAGGCATATTGGGAAGCTTCTGAGCCGCGCACACAAGTTGCCTCTACTTTCCACCATTGTTCCACCTCCCCCACTGGAACAGTGCCTAACACTCTTCCCTTGGGATTCATTTTCTAAGTGTAGGGCACAAACCATTGTTTGAGAGTGTACTAGTTATCTATTGCTGTGCAACAAGTTACCCCAACTGGCTTAAAACAGCACCAGTTAGTACCTCACAGTTTTTCTGGGTCAGCAATCCAGGAGAGGTTTAACCGAGTCCTTTGGCTCTGGGTCTCTCAGATGGCTGGAGTCATCGTAAGGCTCGATGAGGAAGGACCTGCCTTCTGGCTCACTCATAGGGCTGTTGGCAGGATTCAATTTCTTGTCAGCTCTTGTGCTGGGGGCCTCAGTGCCCTGGGAGCTGCTGGCTGGAGGCCCTCCTTGGTGCCTTGCCGCGTGGGCCCCTCCAGAGAGTATCTCCCAACAAGGTCCTGGCTTCATCATAGTGAGTAAGT